ATTTACAGAGTGGATTCTATTTGATTTGTGGAGGAACACTGTGTGTTTTGTTTGGTGTCTGAGCTTCTGAATGGCAATTCCAGGGAAATGTGCTGAGTCATGAATCCCTAAGAGTAAAAGAGTTTGACAAGAACATGCTTGGGGAAGGCTGAGCTGTGATACTTGTAAAGTTAGGGATAACTAAAAGCTCATTATTTTTCTTCTAAATGAAGGCTTTTAATGCAAACATTTACCTTACACCCAGGCCTAGGAACACTGGGTACCTGCGCAGGTACAGAGAAGCCACACTCGTGAGAATGATCACCACAACAATAATAATAGCTAATATATATTTATTAGACACCTACCATGGGCCAGGCACTTATATGGGTTATCTTATTTAATTCCCACAATACCCTATAGTATGTTTTATGAATGAGAAGACTGAGGCTTTGAGAGGCTAAATAATTTGCTTACGGCCACAAGGACTCTCAAAGACTGAGACAGATTTGAGCCCAGGTGATCTGGATGTGGAATCACAGCCATAATGAGTATGGTATACTGAATCCCCAATATCGTCCACGTATTCATAGATCTTTGATCATTTTAATGAGTGGTTAAACCCCTTACTTGAAGAAGGCTCTTACTAATTGGCATCCTTTCAGACATAGTTGACTATGCAGCAAAAGGTCCTGTGCTTGCTATTAAGGATGGAGAAATTGTGTGGTAGTGCTAATGTAAGTTGTGTAATTTATGTAGTCAATGTAATACTCTTTCTATGTAAAAGAGAAAAATGAAACCACTTTCCTTCAAAATAGAGCTCTCCTTTATGTCTTGGAACAACCTGAGTTAAGATAATTCTATACTGATTGCTAAGAGTGGAGGCTAAGGTCTTAGGATAAGTCAGCCTGCACATACATTCGGTCATGACCTCCCACTGCTGGGACTCCTGGTCCCTGGGAATTTGTTTCTCATGAGCCTTTTATAAATTGGTGGCTGAACCTTCTCCCCTTCCCTGGGACATGATTACCTTAGAGAAAATTAGATCACTTCAGAGAGGGGCAGGAGGCCATGTGAGGAGCTGCTAAAGTCAGGGACTGGGGGCACACAAACTTTCCCAAACTCAGCCCAAAGTACTTCCAAGATCAAGAAGTATCTTTTGAGTAGATGGCATTGCAAAGTAATACAGCCTTTTTGCAAAGAAGTATGGAGAATTCTCAAAGAACTAAAAGTAGACCTCCCGTTTGATCCCATAATCCCATTCCTACGTATCTACCCAGAAGCAAAAACATAATTTTACCACAAGGGCATTTATACTTGAAGGCATCAATTCACAATGCCAAGGATGTGGAAACAACCCAAGTGCCCATCAACCCATGAATGGATTACTAAATTGTGGTATATGTACACCATGGAATGCTATTCAGCCAGAAAGAAAGATGGAGACTTCCACCCTTTTGTATTTACCTGGAAGGATTTAGAGAACATTCTCCTAAGTAAAATATTTCCAGAATGGAAAATCAAGCATCCCATGTACTCTGTACTAAGCTGAAACTAGTAGATCAACAACCGCATGCCCACAGGAGGGAAAATCACAATAAGTTCAAGAAGTGGGGAGGAGGGGAGGGGTTGAGTAAGTTCCACCTAACAGGTGCAGTGTAGGAGTACATGGCACCTTCCCTGGTGAAGGACTAAGCCACAGCTCAGACTTCACCTTACAAATGCACACAGTCTACCTAAATGCATGAACCCTCCTAGTAACCTAATTTTTTTTTTTTTTTAAAGTATCTCATAGGCCTGGTGCAGTGGCTCCTGTCTATAATCCTAGTACTCTGGGAGGTGGAGGTGGGTGGATCACTTGAGCTCAAGAGTTCAAGACCAGGCTCAGCAGGAGTGAGACCCCCATCTCTAAAAATAGCCGGGTATTGTGGCAGGTGCCTGTAGTCCCAGCTACTCGGGAGTCTGAGGCAAGAGAATTGCTTGAGCCCTAGAGTTTGAGGTTGCTGTGAGCTATGAAGCCATGACACTCCACTGAAGTCAACAAAGTGAGATTCTGTCTCAAAATAAAAATAAAAACAGTATCTTCTGAGTCACAAAATAACAATTATATTCTAATCCATATATGTTACGAAGTATGTCTTCAAAATGCTAATTCTTTGAAAATGAACAAGTCATAAATAATTACATGATCTGACTTCTCAGTATGTAACAGAAGTAAGGGCCTAAGGAAGGGCAAAATATATTACAAGCTGTCTCTTTAAAACCCTTTCCTCCTTTTTTGGGAATTAAAATTTTCATTCCTGCTAAAGGCCAGTAATCAGAGGGGCAGGTATGTATTCTTTGCCTTTTTGTACCACAGATGGGCTCTAAGGAATTGTTCACAGGATCCATTTCCCAGGAGAAGGTCAGGACCAACAGTGGATCGTATAGTTAAACAGCAGCAGCAAGAAGCTGAACACGCCTCTTTAAAAGCTCTGTATTTCTGCTTATAGTGCGAGCCATGATTGTGGTTTTTTTTCCCCCTAAGACTCCAGTCTGCCATTATTTGCAGCAAATTAATAAACTTCTCTTTCCCTTTCCTCAAGCCACTTGTCCTTGTTCTTCATTCTGCCACAAGGACAATCACCAAATTTCAGTAACATATTCACTAAAGGCTTGGCTTAAGAGCAACCATCCCTGCACGAGGCCTCATTCCCTAAGCCATGTTAGAGATAAAAGGCTTTACTGTGATTTCTACAAAGAGAAACGTTTCTCATTTTGCTTTTGGAAATCAGTTATGTCTTTGTAACATGTTGTTCCTATCAGCATGACAATTATATTTCAAATTATAAAATGAGGGTAGTAATCTCCACCTCACAGGGTTATTATGAAGGTTAAACAAAATACCCTTAGAACATATTAAGAATTCTATAAATTGTTGATGTCATCATTGAGAATCTGAGAGGGGAATCTGTCCTCTTTTCCTTAAGAGGATTCTGCAGTTTCGATATATTAGTTTTTTCGGAAGGCAATGGTTAAAACAGTTAAGCAAATTGACTTTTGAATATTCTCTTGTCAATCACCAAATTCTGGGGTCTGAATTGCATCAAGCAATTTATATTTTTACGTTCAAGTGATGTATCGACATACCTGGGAGGCAAGGTGACTAAGAGGAGAAAAAGCAACACAACTGATGCAAAACCGACACGAATATTTTATTGTAACTTCAAATTCATCCCCTAGACAATAGATAATTCACGCATTGGACAGTATTAGTTAAAGACACGGCGAAGATGCATTTGGACAATTCACGATATTGATGAACATGGAGATGTCATAAAAGCCAAACTTTTTCAGGCTATTGGATTTCCTGAACATAATATTGGCAAGAAAAGAATTTTCAACACAAAAACATGTAGTTAGAAAAAAAAAGTCACTTATTTTATTTCCTAACTTTGAAAGTGACTAAAGAATGAGGTACAGAAAACCTTCCAGAAGTCTTGAGTATGGAGCAGAAGAAGTCCAAGGCACCTTGGAGCCCCACCATTGCATTATTGAGTAGATTTAACTCAGTGTGAAATACTCCAAACTCCAGGTTTATCATATAGAAAAGTACTATTTACCTACCTCACAGAGGCGTTGTGAGGACTCGTGCTTATAAAGTGCTTCAAGGCGCCTTCGAAGAAAGGCAACATAGAAGTATAAAATAATCTTACGTATTTCAAAAGAAATGAAAAGACGATTTTTGGCACAACGGGAAGGTTGCCTCCTATTTAAAGATCACTCAACTATAAAAGCTCCCTGACCTTGTGGTTTGTTCTTTACGATAATTTAAGAGCGTACATGTTTCGCTGTTGCCAGTCTTATAAACTAGCCATTCTTGATCCAGGCTGTGTTGTTGGAATCAGTTGAAGAATTTGTTAAAAATATAGAGGCTTGGGCCACAGCCTAGAACTACAGACTTAAAATCTCTAAGCAAGATATTCAGGTTCCTACATTTTTAAAAGGATCCATCGGGAATTCTGATGAATACCAGAGTTTAAAACACATTACTTTAGAAAAAAAAAATATGTCAACTTCTCTAACATTGATTTTCTTCCTGGAACATTCCTCTTAAGATCAGATGAAGTTGAATAAGGGAGGGTATTAAGTCCTCATTGTCCTTTCCCCTTCCCATGTCCCACGCAGAATCAGAGCACGCAGGCACAGCCACCATGCCCCCGACCCTCCACACACACACACACACAGAGACTCATTCACTTTTTAGTTCTGCCCTTGAATTAAAATTTCATAGTGGTAATATCTGATAGTAGCAAATAAATGCGTCAGTGGGGAAAAGTGCAAAGACTTGCAATCCATCCCCAGTGTGTCCAAAGCAAACGGATGTTTCCCATTTGCCAGAATGGAATGGTTGAAAAATGCATTTCCAATTTGGAAACAGGTAAAATCAGCACTTCCTGGGAAACCTCAGCTGAGCAGATGCTGACAAACAAGAGGGAGTGAGGTTCCAGTGGCCAGCCATGAAGAAAGGCGACAGGGACTCCTGGGCTGCTTGGAGTTTGCCTGCACTTGGGCAAACACCTTAGGGAACGGACGTGGTTTAGCGCTGCCGTGGGACACCAAATGACATGTGGCTGCTTCATCAAAGTAAACAATGAAATAGCGAATAATGAGAAGTGGTGACTGTAAGCACAAATATAAATGACTGCTTTGCTCCACTGCAATTCTTAAGGCTATTTTAATATCCGCTCTAATTTCCTGGCTGGCTTAAAGTTTATTTACTAGCTAGTCCAACGTATGGAAGAGAGTGATTTCTTCTGTAGTGGCCATCACTCGTATCCCATTCTGCTGCACCAATATTAAAATAGCAGAGACCCCTCTGGGTGCCTTGCAGTGGAACAGAGTCGGCAGAGAAACGCTACTTTACACAGAAAAAGGCTTCAGAAGCTGGCCAAAATTTTTACAAGGTTAAGAACTAATGGATGACAGAAAACAGAATAGTCCCACTTTTTGGTGGGGGGGGGGGAAGAAACAAAACCATGACATATACAGTACATGTAAGGAATCGAATGTGTAAAAACAAAATTCAGAGTCAGCCACATGAAATTTGGTTATGAAAAATGTCTTGACTCTTAGAGAATTTGTCAAAATATTTTTGCTATGCGGTAGCAAAAATTACACAGCAAATATAGTGCCTTCCGATATTCCTCTAAACATTAGAGGCAACTTTGTACAAGAAAGTTGTTGGAGCCGGCTTGGGGAGTTGCTTCTTGCAGGCATCCCAAGAGGGCAAGGCTGCTAACAGCAGAATAAAGCCTCCCAGCAGGACGCAGAAGCCACTAAAATAAAAGGCAATGTCATAGGTCTGGGTCCAGTCATAAAACCAACCTGGAAAAACAATGAGGAAAGAGTGAGTTTCACAGAAGTAGAATAAATGTCAAGTCCATACCCTAATTTCATCCCTTTCATATGTAGTTGGGATTAGGATATATATTACCCTACTACTTTCAAACTGGCTTATTGGGAGTTAAAAGATAGGAATCTACCAAATATTTAGACCAAAATAAGCATATATTTTGAGCTTCTTCCAAATAAATAATAAATACAAATCCCAGAACACATATATTGACCTTCTAAATTATATCAAAGCAATCTTAATAAATCATTTACAATGAATCATTCCATGCAGATTTATTTTCGATTATATAAATCTGCACGATTATTACGATCTGAATATCTATATCTGGAGATACAGAGTTAAAATAAATCTCTTACCAACAATGGGTGGCCCAAGGCTATTTCCAAGTCCAGCAAAGAACATTAATATTCCATAGGCATGGGCTAATTTTTCAATTCCCACAGTCTTCGTGGTCACATATGGGAAGATGGACCAATTACCAGTAAGAAACCCTACAACTGCAGAAAGTATTGCCAGTGTGACATAACTTTTGGCAAACGGAATTGCACACAAGGCCAGGCCCATCATGATTAGGGTCGCTACATAAAGATATAAGGTATTAATCCACTTGAAGTCAGCCAGTATGCCTAGCAGGAGTTTGCCAACTGCTGTCATGATGCCTATGATGGAAATAAGCGGCATCAAAGACTCTTCTTCTTTCACATTCGAACTCCTTGCTACATCTTCCATAAGCAACGAAGGTGGAAACCCCCCAATGTCAAAAAGTAGGATAGCGATAAAAAGTGCCGAAAATACTTTGTTTTTAAAAAGAGCCAAAGTTTCCCCACAGTAGTTCTTATATAATTGCCACTTTCTCTTGGCAAGCTGTTTACAAAAATATGTCTGTTCTGCCACTTTCTGTTTGTACGTTTCGGGCTCTTTTGCTTGTGCGATGGTTGCGGGGGTTTTCTGAAGGAGACTCTCCTGTTTCCAGTGGCCATTGGCTAAAACGTTCTTGCATTTTTCCTCGCTACAGTAGCTCTTGTCGAGAATGTTAATGTTTTCTTCTGGGTTCTTTTCTTTGTCATCATAAATGGAGTATTTATCGGGTAGGTTTTCCAGAGGTGGTTTTTCAGACAAAGGACAATCAGAAAACTGGAGGGGTCTCATCAGACTGCCGCAGGCTAATATATTTAAAGCTAAAGCACCCACGATCAGTAAACAACCATCCAGCCCATAGAACTCGATGAGCATCTTTTGCAGAGCAGCGTAGATGAAAAGGCCAACACTTGAACCTGAAATGGGAATAGCAGGTGTTCGATCTTAATCTCTTATCATTTCAGGCTCTTGGGACAAGAATTAGCAGTATCACAACTTAATTTATTTTCTTATACTGGCATTTACATGAAAACTTCATATTAAAACCACAACAAGAATACTGAAGATAAATACAATAACAAAAGTGGTGACACTGATAGGACATTTAAGAATTAGCATCTGTAGTGGTAAGCGCTTTATATGGCATGAGCTTATATAAACTTTTAAGGAACCCGACCGGACACAGTGGCTTACATCTATAATCCTAGCACTTTGAGAGGCTAAGGTGGCAGGATTGCTTGAGGCCAAGAGTTTAAGACTAACCTGAGCAAATGTGAGACCCCCGTCTCTGTTAAAAATAGAAAAAGTATCTGGGTATAGTGATACACCTGTGTAGTCCCAGTTATTTGGGAGGCTAAGGCAGGAGGATCACTTGAGCCCACAAGTTTGAAGTGGCAGTGAGCCATGATGACACTACTATACTTTAGCCTGGGCCCAGGTCAGAGCCAGACCTTGTCTCAAAATAAAAAAAAGTGGGGGGGATTCTATTGGTTAGGTCCTATTATTACTCACAATCTATAGATGAAGTAACCCCAACCAGATAGTTAGAAAATTTGCCATAACTCTAAATGGCATAAGTAGGATTCACAGCCACTACCTTTCTTGCACTGATTACATGCCAGACTTTATGCTATTTATTCCTTTGGGAAAAGCAAATTTTCACATTTTATTTTTTGAGATGAATAATATAGTTTAATTGTAGGATATTTAAAATGGATGGATAGTTCAAATCCATTGCTGAATCATCAGAATGAGCAATTCATACTTTTAATTCATTAATACAATTATGAGAAAACTAAAGTGGAATTTGACAGAGTATTCACATTACAGAGTTTGCTGGTTTGTATACTAATGCAACAGTATGACTGCTCCACTTTTTTAGCACTTATCACCCTGAGCAGAATGGAATGCTACATTTCTGTCAGCTCAATTAATTTGTATTGCTCTCATCTGGTTCTGATTTCAATTTTCTAAAAAAATTGCATATTTTAAAATTCAAATATCATGAGAAAAGGCAGGAAAAATAGATCTGTAAAACAAAATAGTCTAAGTAGACTGATCACATATTTAAAATGGTTATACCAAATTACATCCTAACTCCATCAACGTGTGCAGTGAGGCCGTGCTTGGCCTCACTACTGATGACATAGACATGCTAGCAGTAAAAATATATCTTTTTAAAAAAATTTTTTTAGAGACAGGGTCTCGCTCTGTCATCCAGGCTGGAGTACAATGGCACTATCATAGCTCACTGCAACCTCAAACTCTTGGACTCAAGCAATCTTTTTTTTTTTTTAGAAACAGAGTCTCACTTTGTCACCCTGGGTAAAGTGCATCATGGCATCATAGCTTACAGCAACCTCAAACTCCTGGGCTCAAGTGATTTTCCTGCCTCAGGCTCCCAACTGATTGGGACTTCAGGTGTGTACCACCACACCGAGCTAGTTTTTCTATTTTTAGAAGAGATAGGGACACGCTCTTGCTCAGGCTGATATTGAACTCTTGAGCTCAAGCAATCCACACACCTCAGCCTCCCAGAGTACTAGGATTACAGGCGTGAGCCATCACGCCCAGCCTCCAGCAATCTTCTTGCCTCAGGGATTGCAGGTATATGCCACTACACCTGGCTAATTTTTAAAACATTTTTTACATAAAGACAGGTTCTTGCTATGTCACCCAGGCTGGTCTTCAATTCCTGACTTTAAGCAATCCTCCCACCTTGGCCTCACAAAGTGCTGGGATTACAAGTGGGAACTGCGCGCTCAGCCTAAAAAATTATGTTGCTATCTGATTGGTAGCTACAAAACGATTGGTTAAACATACCTGTGCTAGGTAAATTTTAATGTTTACTTTGCTTAGAATAGGAACAATATTAGTTTACGTTGCTAATTTTATTTAGAATAGTGACAATACTGAATGTACTTTGGAAACCTACCTGTAGAAATCAGGCCAAGTGCAAGGCCTCGACGACTGTCAAAGTACTGGCATGTGATGGTCACTGTTGCCGTGTATAATAAACCACATCCAAGGCCTAAGCATGAGAAGACATTGAATAAATTAAGACACACTGCATTATTTCAATGCAGAGGAAAAAGCAATAAGGAAAGGAATAATCAACTGCCTCCACCAGGACATTCGGTCACTGACTGGTTAAAACTCTTTAGTTTGGATTCCTAGACTTGTGTCATGTTAGTGGTGCAGCCCCAAGGAATACACTGGGCAGCCTCATTTTTCACTCCACACTTACCTCTAAGGTCAGGGTCAAGTTAAAAAAAAAATCCAATATCTAAAGAATGAATTAATAATGCAAATGTAAATTAAGACATTAGAGAGGGGAAAATGGTTAAATCACAGACCAAATAGCACAACTTAATCAATCTTGTCCCAATCTGTGTCTCTTCTAAGTCCTTGTCCTCAGCCCAGTTTTCACCTCTTCTAAATCCTCTAAACAACTTTTTAAAATTCCCTTTATCAGGTCAGTGCCTGTAGCTCTGTGGTTAGGGTGCCAGCCACATGTACCAAGGCTGGCAGGTTGGAACCCAGCCCAGGCCAACTAAATAAACAATGACAACTGCAACAAAAAAATAGCTGGACATTGTGGCCGGAGCCTGTAGTCCCAGCTACTTGGGAGGCTGAGGCAAAAGAATCGCTTCAGCCTGAGAGTTTGAGGTTGCTGTGAGCTGTGATGCCACAACACTCTATCAAGGGCAACACAGTGAGACTCTGTCTCAAAAAAAAAAAAAAATTTTCCTTCATCATCCCTAGCCGTTCTGTTAGAGCTTAGTTTGCAAACCCCAGTCTGCAAAACAACGTCTTTCAGGCAGGTCTTCTGGGGTTCTCAGATCATCCCATCAGTCAAATTTGTATTTGTAAGTCTTATATTTCAGAGAAGCATGATACCATGTGTAGAAGTAAAATGTAGTGATATCTTTTAGTTTAAAATGTTTTCACAAAAAAGGAAGCAAATGCAACAAAATATTAACAACTGTCAAATTCAAGCGGTAAGCATAGGGTTGTTGGCTATAATATTCTCTACTTTTCTGTAAATTTGAATTTCTTTTATAAAAATATTATAATCTAATTTCCTTTCTTGAGATCAAAGGGTAATAATTATTTCCAGATCGCTCTGAGGCTGTTGTTTGTTAATCTTTTCCTCCCTTCATAACCTGTTTTTCACAAAACTCTCTTTTGGCTGTAACTAATTTGCTTTTTTGTCTTCAGCAACATTTTCTGGTTTGTTTGTTTGTTTGTTTGTAGCCAGGGCTGGGTTCGAACCCGCCACCCCTGGCACATGGGACCAGCACCATACTCCTTGAGCCACAGGTGCTGCCCAACATTTTCTGTTCTTGAGGTTTACTCTAAAAACAACACATAAACCATAGTCAATTTAACCCCAGCTCATTATGTGAATTACTAAGATAATTTTCATTACTTTAAATAGCTACCTGGGCTGTGATTTAAAAGAATACACAAGTTAAAAGAATTTACTATGTAAACATTTTAGGAAATCTGAACTTAAAACAACCCAGGATTCAGATGATCATCCATGATTGCATAAAAAGTCTTCTTAAGAAATAAATAAAACAATTAACACTTTAAATAAAACTTTTAAAATACAGCACCCTTTTTTGTGACTTAAGGGAAAAAAATACTATCTCATTATCTAAAATATGACTTGGATTAATACTACATATGGGATACTTTAAGACACAAAATAAGACCTGTTTCTAAATAATTGATTTTGTGAACCCTAAAAATGTCACCCTAAATTGACACTATTTCTGAAACTGTTTGGAGGAGGAAATACATTTACTTTTCTGTAATTTGGTTGTCAGGGCTGTTGAATGTTAGACATGGGAGACACGGAAAAAAAGACATCTCAGGTCACTAAACACCAATGCTAAAAAAGTTGAAACACCAACAATTAAACTTTTAACTTTAGACTTCAAAGAAAGAATTTTTAAAAAATGATTTCAAGCCCTGGGTTTCAGATAAGATTGTCTCACTCTTTTTTTAGTGAAGCAAAAATCTGAAATGCGTTTTCTTTAAACTTTTCAAAAAGTAGAAATCTTTTGATGGTATGGTATCTCCCCACATCTGTACCAACGTGACCTTAAACCAGCAATTATGCAAAAAAGGTCTGTGTACCTCTATGGTAGTCCTTGAGATCCATTGTGGAATTCATAAAATCAAAACACTTTTATGAAACTATTTATTTATTTATTTTTGAAACAGAGTCTCACTATGTCACCTTTGGTAGAGTGCCATGACATCACAGCTCACAGCAACCTCAAACTCTTAGGCTTATGCAATTCTCTTGCCTCAGCCTCCCAAGTAGCTGGGATATAGGCACCTTCCACAATGCCCAGCTATTTTTTGATTGCAGTTGTCTTGTTGTTTAGCAGCCCTGGGCTGGGCTCAAACCTGCTGGCTTCAGTGTATTTGGCTAGAGACCTACTCACTGAGCTATGGGCACTCAGCCTATAATACTGTTTAATAGGTTCAGTGCCTATGGCTCAAGCGGCTAAGGCACCAACCACATACACTTGAGCTGGTGGGTTCAAATCCAGCCTGGGCCCACCAAACAATAATGACAGCTGCAACCAAAAAGTAGCTGGGTGTTGTAGCAGGCACCTGTAGTCCCAGCTACTTGGGAGGCGAAGGCAGGAGAATCACTTGAGCCCAGGTGTTGGAGGTTGCTGTGAGCTGTGATGCCATGGCACTCTACCCAGGGCGACAGCTTGAGGCTCTGTCTCAAAAAAAAAAAAAAAAAACTACTGTTTAATAATAGTAGTAAGACATTCTCTGCTTTTTTCCACTGTGTTCATATTATGCTGATGGTGCAAAAGAGACAGTGAATGAAACTGGAAAAGCCTTACCAGAAATCAACATATTTGTACCAAACATTTTTCAAATGACCAATGACACAACATTATACATGTGTAATCAGGTACAAATGAAGATTGATTCAAAGTACAGTAGAAACAAATGGATTTAATATACACACATACCACAGTACAAAAAGTATGCTTTTTTATCAAAGTCCACATCGAAATTACTCTTTAGGATATTATGACTTTGTAAGTTTTAGTATAGGATCAAAGAAGACTCTTCAATTCCCTGAAAAGGCTATTTTAAAAAAAAAAATCTTCCCTTTTCTAACAACATCTTTGTGTAAGAACAAATTTTCTTCAAATACATCAATTAAAAAACATAGTGCAGCCAGGCGAGGTGGCTCAACTTGTAATCCTAGTACTCTGGGAGGCTAAGGCAGGAAGACTGCTTGAACTCAGGAATTCACAACTTGTCTGAGCAGGATGAGACCCTGTCGCCACAAAAAGTGAAAAATAAAAAAAGCATGTTGTGGCATACACCTATAGTCCCAGCTACTCAGGAAACTCAAGAGTCTGAGGTTGCAGTGAGCTATGATGACACTACTGCACTCTACTTAGGGTACAGGGTGGGACTGTCTCAACACAACAAAAGACAAGGCAACTGCATGGATCTGCTCAAAATTTCTATCCTCCCAAGTCCCCCCTTTCACAACAAAACAAAACAAAACATTGCAACAGATTAATACATATGAGAATCCAGCTACTTTCTGTAAAGCCAGACATTAAAGAAATTTACAAACAATGGCACTCTTCTCACCAAATTTTGTTTTGCTTTGGAAAACAGTTTTGTTTTTTGTTTGTTTGAGACAGAGCTTCAAGCTGTTGCCTTGGGTAGAGTGCTGTGGCATCACAACTCACAGCAACCCCCAATGCCTGGGCTCAAGCAATTCTCTTGCCTCCGCCTCCCAAGTAGCTGGGACTATAGGCGCCCACCACAACGCCTGGATATTTTTTGGTTGTAGCCGTCATTGTTGTTTGGCGGGCCCGGGCTGGATTTGAACCTGCCAGCTGAGGTGTATGTGGCTGGCGCCTTTGCTGCTTGAGCCACAGGCACCGAGCCTAAAAAGTTATTTTTTATAATAAATATGTTATTATGTTAATATGTGCAGGGTTTGTTATCTTTAAATGAATAACTAAATACATATTTTTTAAAATTTTTATACAGTAAATTTTAATGGAATCTATATAAATATAATCCATATAATCCAAAGCTCCTTGGGGTCCGGAAGAGTATAAAGGGTTATCCCAAAACATAAACATTAGCAGAACATAATTGTTTCTTTTCAGAGGTTCTGACATTGCTTTTCCCACACTTTCCGTGCCATTTCACATAACTTCAGGTGAGACCACAATTCCAGAGTCCTCTTTTCCCTCCAGTCTTCACACTGAACCAGACATCAAGCTCTTTATGACACCCACTCCCTAAATTACCAACTTTCACCTCCCTCTGCCCTGACACTGCCTCAGTTCACTTCTCATCTTTTCCGATCTCAACTATAGACTCAACTGTCACAGCTTCCAGTACTTTTTCCACCAATTTGTCTTCCAAACTGCTGTCATCCTGGTCTCATCATGTCATGCTTCTGCAATAAAGGCCACTTAGTGCCCCTATGTGGTCTTTACTGCATAGTGTCCAAGCTGCTAGAGAAGCTGAGGCAGGAATATCACCTGAGCCCAAGAATCCAAACCCAGCCTGGGTAACACAGGAAGATCCTTGCCTCTAGAAAAAAGATTATTTTAAGACCACATAAAACCTTTCACTGTGTCTTGTTCCACACCATGCTTTGACATATTTGCAGCTCCCCACATGATCTGTGCATTCCTTTACAAACATGTACAAAAAGCCTGCTGTTATCCATTCTATTCCCCGTCACCCTTACTCCCCTTACAACCTATACCCACCTGATCACAACCCGTCTTTCCTTCAAGACTCAGCTCAAGTGTAGACTCCTGCATGAAGCCTCCTTTACCAGCCCATCTTTCCCACTCAGAAATACTACACCAGCCCTGGATAGTTCATGACTGTGTTTATCGTGCTGTGTTACAACTTACATATTTACAAGTTTCATCCTCCAACAATGAGACAATTTGTTACATGACTTTGGGAAAGCCACTTAAACTATGTTTCTTTATTTTT